TCAGAGGTTTTGAGGTCACTCTGGATGGAAGGCAGGGACACATCGGCCTCCGCCTTGGGCCCTTTCACCTCCATGGTCGTGTCCAAGGTCTTGCTGGGGGTAGACACACCGAAGGACGGCATCTTGAACTTGGGCATTTTGAACTTGCTGTCTTTGATGTCCACTTCCTTGTCTTCCAGGGCCAGGTCCCCCTCCAGCTTGGCACTGGGGGCCTGCATGTCCACCTGTCCAGAGGGCAACTCCATGTCCAGGTCGGGGGCACTCACCTCAACCTTGGGGCCTTTCACCTCCAGCTTGGGGCCCTTTATATCCACCTGGGGTCCCTTGAGGTCCACCTTGGGCATCGTGATGCTGGGCATCTGCATCTTGGGCACTTGCCCCTTTAGGCTGGCTCCATCAGCAGATGCCGCCGGCAGCTCTTCCTTAGGCAGGGTGGCCTCAGGGAGGGTCACGTCCACCTGGCCAGCCCTGTCCCCCATTTCGGCGGGGGGCAGCTGGATGCTGATGTCAGAGGTTTTGAGGTCACCCTGGATGGAGGGCAGCGCCACATCAACCTCCACCTTGGATGCCTTCACCTTCACGGACGTGTCCAATGTCTTGACGGGGGCCGACATGCTGAAGGAGGGCATCCTGAACTTGGGCATTTTGAACTTGCTGTCTTTGGTGGCCACTTCCTTGTCTGCCAGGGCCAGGTCCCCCTCCAGCTTGGCACTGGGGGCCTGTATGTCCACCTGCCCAGAGGGCAGCTCCATGTCCAGGTCGGGGCCACTCACCTCTCCCCTAGAGCGTTTCACGTCCAGCTTGGGGCCCTTGATGTCCACCTGGGGGCCCTTGAGGTCCACCTTGGGCATCTTGATGCTGGGCATCTGCACCTTGGGCAGGTGTCCCTTCAGGCTGGCTCTAGCAGGAGGAGCTGGTGGCTGCTCTCCCTCAGGCAGGGTGGTCTTGGGGAGGGTCACGTCCGCCTGGCTGTCCCCAGCCTCCAGGTTGGCTGTAGGCAGCTGGATGCTGATGTCAGAGGTTTTGAGGTCACCCTGGATGGAGGGCAGGGCCACATCGGCCTCCANCTTTGAGGTTGCCCTCAATGGAGGGCATGTCCACATCAGCCTGCATCTTGGGCACCTTCACCTCCACAGACGTGTCCAAGGCCTTTCCTGGGGCAGACAAGCCGACGGAGGGCATCTTGAACTTSGGCATTTTGAACTTGCCCTCTTTGGTGGCCACATCCTTCTCTAATAGGGCCAGGTCCCCCTCCAAATTGGCACTGGGGGTCTGTATGTCCACCTGCATGGAGGGCAGCTCCATCTCCAGGTCTGGGACACTCACCTTGCCCTTGGAACCTTTCACGTCTAGCTTGGGGCCCTTGAGGTCCACCTTGGGCATCTTGATGCTGGGCATGTGCACCTTGGGCAGRTGCCCCTTCAGGCTGGCTCCTGAGTCAGGGGCTGCTAGGAGCTCTCCCTCAGGCTGGGCAGTCTCATGGAGGGTCATATCCACATGGCCATCCCTCCTGTCCAGGTCGGCACTAGGCAGCTGGATGCTGAAGTCAGAGCTCTTGAGGTCACCATGTGTGGAAGACAAGGTCACAKCARCCTCCACCTTGGGCGCCTTCACCTCCACAGATGTGTCCAAGGCCTTTCCTGGGGCAGACAYGCSTAAGGAGGGCATCTTGAACTTGRGCATTTTGAACTTGCCCTCTTTGGTGGCCACRTCCTTGTCTGCCAGGGCCAGGTCCCCCTCCACCTTGGCGCCAGGAGCCTGTATGTCCACCTGCACTGATGGCTGCTCCAACATCAGGTCGGGGGTGCTCACCTCACCTTTGGTGCCTTTCACGTCCAGCTTGGGGCCCTTGACATCTACCTGAGAGCCCTTGAGGTCCACCTTGGGCATCTTGATGCTGGGCATCTGCACCTTAGGCAGGTGCCCCTTAAGGCCAACTCCAGAAGCAGGGGCTGCTGGCAGCTCTTTCTTGGGCAGGGTGGCCTCAGAGAAGGTTACGTCCACCTGGCCAGCCTGGGTCTCCAGGTCGGCGGTGGGCAGATGGATACTGAGGTCAGGGGTTTTGAGGTCACTCTGGATGGAGGGCAGGGCGACTCCAGTCACCACCTTGGGCCCTTTCACCTCCACAGACGCATCCAAGGTCTTGCCGGGGACAGAGATGCCAAAAGAGGGCATCTTGAACTTGGGCATTTTGAGCTTGCTGTCTTTGGTGGCCTCGTCCTTYTCTTCCAGGGTCAGGTCCCCCTCCAGCTTGGTGTTGGGGGTCTGTATGTCCACCTGCCCAGAGGGCAGCTCCACGTCCAGGTCTGGGACTCTCACCTCGACCTTGGGGCTTTTCACKTCCACCTTGGGGCCTTTTATGTCCACTTGGGGCCCCTTGAGGTCCACCTTGGGCATCTTGATGCTGGGCATCTGCACTTTGGACTGGTGCCCCTTTAGGCCAGATTTAATGTCAGGTTCCCCTGGCAGCTCTTCCTTAGGCAGGGGGCTATCATGGAGGGTCACACCCACCTGGCCATCCCTGGTGTCTAGGTTAGCAGCGGGCAGTTGGATGCTGAGTTCTGAGCTCATGAGGTCACCCTGTGTGGAAGGCAAGGCCACATCRGCCTCTACCTTAGGCACTTTTATGTCAACGGATGAGTCCAAGGCCTTTCCTGGGGCCGACAGGCCGAAGGAGGGCATCTTGAACTTGGGCATTTTGAACTTGCCCTCTTTGGTGGCCACTTCCTTGTCTGCCAGGGCCAGGTCCTCCTCCATCTTGGTGGTGGGGGCCTGTATGTCCACCTGTCCAGAGGGCAGCTCCATCTCCAGGTCAAGGCCACTCACCCCGCTCTTGGGGCCTTTCACATCCAGTTTGGGGCCCTTGAGGTCCACCTTGGGCATCTTGATGCTGGGCATCTGCACCTTGGGCAGATGCCCCTTCAGGCTGGGACCTGAGTCAGGGGCTGCCAGGAGCTCTCCCTCAGGCAGGGTG